TAGAAATCACCCCCCAGGGGGGATGGTCACGCCGCAATCCCTTCTCCTCCATTCTCCTCTCGGGATCTTGGGCACGCACGCACACGCGCCCGGCGTGAGTTTTAACCCACCGAGTCCGGGACCTGAACCGCGGTCGACTACGTGGGAGTCCAGCGACATAGCCATTACGCTAACTGCTGGTTCCCAGTTTATTTCTTTTACTTAGGGTTTATTGCCCTCTTCGCTTCAAAAAACAACCTGAGGTACCTTGTACAATTAAGCTCGATAGAAAACAGGCTTTAAAAAATAAGACCGCAGCAAAACCCAGTTAGAGGGGACAGGGAAGCAGTGTTCCCAGGCCCTCAGGATAAGCTATAACAGCGGACCTCCAATTTCGAGTCTCGGTCTCCTGGGCACACACAGGGGGCCACTTTACCAACTGAGTTACTGGCTAGTGACGGGCCTTGTTAGGACAGGCACAAGCTCTGAGCCTGAAGGACCCGTCGCTGCAGCTGTGGCCGTTCCGGGGTCATGGCTCAGGTCCCTGTGGCCCAGGCGGGAGGCACCTACCTTCGTAGCTGGCGCGGAAACCCTGGGCACTGACCGCGTAGTCACTGATGAGGCGCAGGGAGAGGACGGTGGCCGCACTGACGATGGTGGCTGGCAGCTGAAAGCCAGTGAGCCTAGAAAACCAAGAGGGACGGTTAGGGAGAACGGCCCCCTGGGAAATGACGAGGCAATCAAGCACTTACTGAGCGCCTGCTGGGTACACAGTGCTGATGGAGGCACAGGGAGGAACATGCAGAGGAGCCTAACTAAGGCATGTGGAAGTATTCGAGCCAGCAATGCCCCGCAGGCAGGTGTGCCGGAAACTAACAGCCCCGTGTCCCAGAACCCCCTGAAGCCACGGACTAATCCCTGACCTGCAGGCCTGCCTTTCTCATTTGTGTCTCTTTTCACGGCGTCTTCTCCTGTCTCCTCCCTTTCTGGCTGAGATCCTTTGAGGGTCTGGGTGAAACTTGCCATGAATTTACAGTGAGCAATTGCCAGCAGACAGTGTTTACTCTTGTAGTGGGAAAAATGCATTCAGCTCCAAGAGCAGAATGTGGCTGCTCCTTCACATAGACTTTACTCTTTCCAAAGGAAGTCTACTGCTTTTATAGAAGTAAGTGCTTATTAGTTTAAAAAGAAGAAAGCAAAAATAAAACAAAAACCCCACACAACCTAGAAATAATTGTTCTTGACAGCTGATGTACAAAGAAATGCAGGGATCAATAGATGAGATCATATTCAATGAAATAATTTCATACAAATGGGATCATCTCTTCATGCTTTGTAAATTAAAATGTTTCAAATTTCTTTCTGGAATTTAAATGATGAAAAAGAAATGGATGAAACTAAAGAAACTGTTGACCCTCAGATAATATGATTTTAGCACAGGAGAGACATTTTTCAGACTCTTAGTTCTAAGGCTAAAAAGATACCACTGAACACTTGGGGATACATTTAGGAGAGACTTCCCTACAGTGGGAGTCCATGCCTGGCGGCCGCCGCGAAAGAAACCCTGCACAAGGATGCTATGAGGGGCCAAGCTCCCGTCTACTCTCGCCCATCACCCCCTCTCTGCGGCCACCATGCTTCCCAGTGCTCCTCCGGGATCTGGGCTTCCTTTGACCCCAGGCAGTGGGCTATCTGGGGGCTCCTGGATCTCTCACCTCCTGCTGCTATTTAACACCTTAGTGCCTGAGTGTCCCCGGAGAGCACAGGCAATGGCTCAACCAAGTTGGTCAAAGACCCGTTGATACCCACAGTGAGCAGCCTCATGCTCAGCCTGCCCGCGCCCTTGCTGCCATCCTGATCTTTGGTTTTGTTTTGTTTTATTGGAGAGGTTTTTGCTATAGGGTGAGTGAGCTTGCCGGAAAGACAGAGACGAAAAGCGAGAAATCACCCCCCAGGGGGATGGCCAGGCTGTATTCCCTTCTCCTCCATTCTCCTCTCGGGATCTTGGGCACACACACACGCGCCCGGTGTGAGTTTAAGCCACTGGGTCCGGGACTCGAATCATGGTCGACTACGTGGGAGTCCAGCGACATAGTCATTACGCTAACTGCTGGTCCCCCGCCATCCTAATCTTTTAAGATTCCTAGCTTTCTTCCTTTCTTCCTTCCTTCCTCCCTCCCTCCCTTCCGCTTGCCTGCCTGCCTGCCTCCCTGCCTCCCTCCCTTCTTTCTTTACTCAGCAAAAGAGAGAAACAGAGAGACAGGTGCCACCAACAGGGTCTTCATGCCAGTTCCACGCAGCCCCAGCCAGCCCTAGCTCAGGGCACATGCGTGCCCAGTGTGTTCAGGGAAGTCCTCCTGTGTGGGCAGCCTTGAGGTGCCATGTTATCACTGTGCCACCGGCTGACCTGCCCACCATCCTCATCTTGTAGAATTCATGTTAGCTCAGAATAAAGTCCAGGAAAAGAGAAGGAAACAAGACCAAGTGAAAAGCAGCTAGCCAAAGAGTCTCAAGGTCATTTTTCCTAAAGGACAAAGACATCTACAGCAAAGGGTCCCTATGTCACTCCATATTCATATTCTCCCTTCTTCACTCATGGGCCAAACATTTATATGTAAAATAATGGAACCATGCATATTAAAAGGAAATAAACCCCTTTTAAAAAGCCATCTTATACTTTCTAAGCAGGACATATAGGGGACTCATTTTGCTCTTACCTGCCCATCATTCTTGTAGGGAGCTGTCCACTGTGTGGGGTTCTGATTGGCATTCCACCTGCCCCCTAACTGCAGAGCTGGGCAAATCGAGCAAATGATCAACCATGGCACACTCTCTCACTTATTTGTTTATTTATTTGGAGAGGTTTTTGCTATAGGGTGTGTGTGCTTGCCAGAAAGACAGAGAGACAGAGACAGAAAGCAAGAAATCACCCCCCCAGGGGGGATGGCCACGCCGCAATCCCTTCTCCTCCATTCTCCTCTCAGGATCTTGGGCACGCACGCACACGTGCCCAAGCGTGAGTTTAAGCCACTGGGCCCGGGACTTGAACCGTGGTAGACTACATGGGAGTCCAGCGACATAGCCATTACGCTAACTGCTGGTCCCACACTCTCTCGCTTTTATGAACTGGTTCAAAGTATGGAGAAGAGGTAAGAGGACATAGCCCAAGAGGTCATTCTGAGTCTCATGGGATCTGTTACATGGGACTCACGGCCTCTTCTTTGGGGGTCCTAACTAGGATGTAAGCATGGGACTGATGGGACTGCGGCAGCCTTTATACCATCACACAGAATCTATCTGTTTTAGAGAGAATGATGTTGCCATATAGACATAACCAATCAGAGCAGGAGGAAGAGGGGAGGGGAGGGGAGGGCAGGGGAGGGCAGGGGAAGGAAAGGGAGAAGAGAAGAAGGGCCCTGCCAATGTATTTCTGAGACCCCTGCCCCAGCTGTGCAGACAGATCTGTGTCTTCAGTGCCCAAGGACATGAGCCAACATCCTTCTTTCTCTTCTCCTGAAAGTTTGATTTGGGTTTCTGGCTTTCGAGATTGATTATTTATGGATACAACATGAAACCATAAAGGCCCTACAGAAAAAATATTAACTGATTTCAGCACATAAAAATTAGAGGCATATATATGTGACAAAGGAAACTGTCAGAAGACAAAGAGAAAGACACCAATTGGAAGGTTAGGTACAATATACATAACTGAAAGAGGGTTATTGTTCATAATGTAGAAAAAGCACTTATGAATAACAAGAAAAAGATAAACAGCTGAAGAGGATAAGGGCAAAGGATATAAGCAAACAAAAACAAGGATGATCTGCCTAATTAACATCAAGATAGGAAAACCAAATCTGCAAGACGCATCTTTCACCTATAAAATTGGTAAATAACCAGAGCTGGCAAGGTTAAGGAAAACAAAACCCTGCAGTCAACAAAAGAATAATAAAAACACCACAATTATGCACGTACACTGACGAGTTAAATGAAATGGATCATTTCCTTGGGAACACAGACTGTCATACCTTTCCAACAGGAAAAAGATCATCTGAACAGCTCTATAACTATTAAAGAAATTGAATTAGTCATTTTAAAACTCCCCCAAAAGAAATATCCAGGCCCAGGCCCAGATGGTTTCACTAGGAAATTCTACCACCCATATAAAGATTTAACACCAATTCTACCATACACAATCTCTTCAAGAACACATAAGAGAAAGAGACATTTCCAAACTCATGCGGCCAGTACTACACTGGTACCAGATTCCCAGAAAGTACAAATAAAGAAAACTAAAGATAAAGAACAAAAGAATATAAAGACAATTTTTTTATATTTAATTTTTTATTTTATGATTTCTTATTCACATTTAATTGCTGTAAATCTCTACAGCACACAATATGGCTTTTTAAAGTGCACATGCCTTTTAAAGTACACACACTTTTTAAAGTACACGTATGTGACAATCAAATCAAATATTACCATATACATTAATTTCAATGGAGAACTTAACATCCTGCGTCTGATTTGTATTTCTTCCCTGGGCCCCTCCCACTCCCACCCAACCATCCATTTTCTTCCCATTCAGTCTTAGCAAAGAGAATTCAGCAATAAATAAAAATAATTGTATACCATGATCAAGCGAGATTTATTCTAAGGATACAAAGCTGGTTCAGTATTTGAAAGTAATCAATATAATTCACTATGTTAACAGGATAAAAGTAGGAAAATCATATCAACATATCAACTGATACAGAAAAAGTATTTGAAAAAAATATAACACCCATTCATGACTGAAAAAGAGAAACATCAGAAAACTAAGAATAGAAGAAAACTTTTTCAACATGAAAAAGAACATCAACAAAAACCTACAGCTGACATCACACTTGATGAAAGACTGATGCATTCCCCTTAAGAACGAAAACAAGGAGAGGTTCCAACAAACCAATTAGAGAGTCATCCAAAGTCATGAAGAGACATTTCACTGAAGAGGATGTATTGCAACTAAGAGCAAGAAAAGAGGACTAGGAGGAGAGACTGGTCTCCACCCACAGCTGGCAGGATGTAAAAAGGTACCATCACTCTGGAAAGGTTTGGCAGTTTCTTTTTAAAAATTAAAAACTAGGGGGAACCAGCAATTAGCGTAATGGCTATGTTGCTGGACTCCCACCTAAGTCGATCGCGGTTCGCGTCCTGGACCCGGTGGCTTAAAACTCACGCCAGGCGCATGTGCGTGCATGCCCAGGATCCCATGAGGAGAAGGGATTGCGGCGTGACCATCCCCCCTGGGGGGTGATTTCTCGCTTTCTGTCTCTATGTCTCTCTCCGTTTGTCTGGCGAGCGCACACGCCCTATAGCGAAAATCTCTCCCCCCCCCCAAAAAAAAATTAAAAACTAGGGCTAGCAAGTGGCTGGTTATGTCACTCAATTCCCATGTGGCTGGCCATGGTTCAAGACCTGGACCTGGTGGCTTGAAACTCGGGCTGGGTGTGTGTCCAAAATACCAGAAAAAGAATGGAAGAGAAGGGATTGTGGTGTGGCCATCCACCCTGCAGGGTGTTTTCTCATTTTCCCTCTCCCTGTCTCTGTCTCTCTCTGGTGGGTGCACATGCTCTAAGGTAAAAATTGCTACAAAACAAAGTAAAATAAAACAAACACTAATCATGCAATGCAGTGATTGTGG